CTGTCTGTGCTTTAGCCACAGCGGCCTTATTTTTGTCCTTTCTGTACACCAAACTTATTTCTGTTTCAGAGTTTTGAATGTGATATATATATATATATATATTCTGCCTGAAACATTCTTCCAGATTTTTTCATGGTTGCCTCCTTCTTATCATTGAGCTTCTTTCCCTGACTACTCTAGCTAAAATTATCCATTCCACCATACATCTGCCCCCCATTATTCTCTCAGTTTTATGTTTTACTTTATTATATTTATCACTATCTGATATTATGTATTTGTTTATGGATTTATTATCTATCTTCTGTACTAGACTGAGATTTGTGAATGAAGGGACTCTGTTTTATTTACTGTCATGCCTCAGCATATCTCAGCATCTAGAACTGTGCTAGGCATATAGTAGCTGCACAATAAATATTTCTTGAATAAATAACATAAGGCAAAATATATAAAGTGCTTTAATAGAAATAGAGGAGCGGGGGAAANATATATATATATATATATATATATATATCCTGTCAAAATTTAAAAATAAAATAAAAATTATTTGAGAGCCATAAATATATTTTTACATAATCACCATTATGTGAATAATATCCTCTAAAATTTTTTATAAATGAAACTATGATAGTTTTATTTTTATTTTCAATTTTACTTCAGAGCCTGTGGCTCACAAGCCCCAGTTTGCTGACCCCTGACGGCTCTTCTGTCTCAAAAGTTTGCAGACCCCTATTCTAGCCCTTTGGGTAGACAGTGATTTCTTAAACAGGACACAGAAACAAAACCATAAAAGAAAAAATACAAATTAAACTTCATCAAAATTAAAAACTTATTAAAAGACATTCTTAAGAAAAAGGCAAGTCACAGATTGGGAGGCAGTAGTTACAAAGCATATAATCTGACAAAGGACTGGTACTCAGGATAAAGAAAGAACTTCTACAACTCAGTATTTAAAAAGACAATCCATTTTTTTTTTTAAGCTGAGCCATCCTGCCACCTGTTGGCAGCTCAGTGGCTGCTCAGCTCGGGCTGGGAATCAAACCACTGTTGCTCAGAGCTCAAACTCTTGAGCAAGCTCTTAACCAACTGAGCCACTCGGCCGGCCCACAACCCATTTTTTTTAAGAGGCTCAATATTTGCACAGATATTTTACAAATAAAGGTACAGGAATGGTGGCTAATGGACATGTGAAAAAGTGCTTAACATCAGTAGTCATCAGGGAATGTATATTAAAAACCCAAGAACACCTCTCTACATATCCAGTATAATGTCTAAAATTAAAATACAACCAAATATTGGTGAAGATGTGGAGCAACCAGACTTCTCAGACATTGCTGGTGGAGTGTAAATTGCTAAACCACTCTTGAAAACATTTGTCACTTTCTTGTAAACATGCCTATTGTATAAGTCAGCAGTTTCACTCCTAAGTATTTACCCAAGAGAAATGGGAATGAATGTGTACAAAGACTTGTACAAGTCTTTGTAATGTTTATAGCAACTTATAATGGACAAAAATCTGGAGTTAACCCAAATGTCCATCAGCAGTGGAAGAGAGAAACAAATTGTGGTATAGTATACTCATACAATGGAATGTTATGTAGCAATAAAAAATAAAATACTTATCCAGTAAGAAGCCTATATGCACCCCCAACAATATGCTGAATAAAAGAAGGCGAACACAAAAGAGTACTTACTGTGTACATTTATATGAAGTTCTGAGTACTTACTGTGTACATTTATATGAAGTTCTAAATAGAATTTTAATCTTTGGTTAAAATATTCAGAAAAATGGTAGCATCTGATACTGGGAGGACTGACTAAAAAGAGGCACAGAAGAACTTTTTGAGGTGATGGAAAGGTTCTGTGTCTGTTTCAGGTGTGTGGATTTTTCAAAACTCAACTCATTTAGAATTTGTGCATTTCGTCTGAATTTTAGCTCAAAATTTAGAATTTTCATATATGGGAATGTGATTCCTATTGTAGATATTTGATAATACTAAGGAATTAGTATTGATTTTTTAAAGTATGATAATGGTCTTGTGACTATTTTCTAAAAGACTTAGTTTTTTTAGAGATTCATCCAAAATATTTAACAATCAGATGGTCTGATGATTGGAATTCATTTGAAAGTATTCATGGGGAAGTAGGTATGGATTCGATAAAACAGACGTGGTCATGTATTTGTAATTGTCAAAGCGGAGTGATGGATGAGTTGGGTTTATTGAAATGTTCTTTTGGGGTTTTTTGTTTTATCTGTCTACCTATCTGTACGTTAGAAAATTTCCATAAAATAAAGTACAAAAGGATATTGTGTAGATTGTGATCATATTTTTAAGCACACACACCCCCTCTCTGAAATCTGGTACTGTATTTATATACAAAAGCAACATTAAAAACTACATATAGTTGTATATAAAGACAGTCTGAAACATACTCCAAACTCTTAAATGATTCCCTCTCTACTGTTTGAATTTCTTTACGATGAGCATATATTGGTGTTGGTACTATAAAAACAAATTAATCAAGACAAACGACTCACCAAGGAGTTCTCAAAGTACTTGCTGTCACATGATCTCAGCCTTTATTTAACTCTATTGCTGTTCAACCTGTTACAAAAATTAGAGTGGTCAGAAGGCTTTGATGAAAAAGATTTCAACCGAGCCTTCTTGAATAGATGAAAATTGCATTTCTCATGTCCTTTTGAGACCTATAATAACATTTTAAAAAATTTAATTCATTGTAATATTTTAATGCCATAGTATTCTTTTTATCTTTATCTCTCAAGGGACTAAAACACCTACAACATTTAAATTAGACCTATGTCTCTAATGATAAATAGTTTTATGATTTCTCTGACAGTTCATTTGGGAAAGCTTTTCTGCTAAATAACACATGCTATATTATTTAATATTAGTTTATATGAATTTATTGAGCATTTGAGTTTATAATGTGATAAGTGGTTAGAAGAAGACACAGTCCTTCTCTGATTTCTGTAAGTAGGTTGTACACACAAAACAACTAGAAAGATCTTCCAAGGCAACATTTAAGCAATTGCATGACAGTATGATACTGAAGGAAAACCAAAAAAGTGAAAGATGAATGAGCTCACTTATATGTGGAATCTAAAGAACAAAATAAACAGAACTGAAACAGACCCGTAGATACAGAGAACAAACTGATGGCTACTAGATGGGAAGGTGGTTGGGAGGCTGGGTAAGAAAGGTGAAGGGATAGGGAAGTACAGATTGGTAGTTACAGAAGAGTCACAGGGATGTGAAGTACAGTATGGGGAATATAGTCAGTAATATTGTAAAAACTATAGTGTCAGATGAGTACTAGACTTACTGGGGGTATCACTTCATAAATTATATAAATATCTAACCACTACGCTGTATACTTGAAACTAATATAAAATAATATTGAATGTCAACTGTAATTAAAAAAAACAGTCATGGGGATATACAGTACAGCATAGAAAATATAGTCAATAATATTGTAATAACTACAGTGTCAGTGGGTACTAGGCTGATTGGGGTTATTACTCTGTGAGGTATATAAATGTCTAATCATCGTGTTGTTTTGTGAACTTTAATAAAAAGAAAAAAAGTGAAAGATGATCATGGAGGGGGGAGCATTACTAATGCTTCTTATCTACTAGATGTTAATAGTTATTTATGCTGTAAACCTAACAAATGTAGGTTACATATATGTAACATATATACATATGTTGTAAATGAGCTGAAAAAGGTCTGGAAGGACACATATCAAATATAACTGATGCTACCTTACCTCTGGAGGAGAAGAGGATTAGGGGGTCTCTGATATTTTTATAAGAACTAATATAGTTTAGATTCAATTTATAAAATACTTGATAATATGCCACACTTTATTGTACCAATAAATCTGAATATTAAGGATTTTTAAAATAATTGACTATTAATTGACTTTTATAAACATCATAAACACACACATATATACAGTGTGAATTAATGAATATTTCAGTTTTTATGGATATTTCAGTTTTAATGTACAGGTTTAAAAAATTACATGTACTTCTTAATTTACTCTCATTCTCTTAGTTTAATTTACTGAAAAGCCATCATCTGTTTTTTAGGTAGTTTTAACCCTTTTTTCCTTTGGAGTCCAGTAGAAAAAAAACTTACAATAGTCTGTGTATTTGTGGTAGTATTCTAATAACAAAACTTTAAAAATCCATGCTCTCATTTTTGCCATATTTACTTTAGGTTTTGTTTTTGTTTTTAAAGAAATCTTAGTTATAACTTTTCCCCATATTTATTCTCTCCTTCCTCACCCCAGATAATCGCTGCTCTGTGTACATTGATATGTATACTTCCTGTGCATAGTTTTCCAGTTTTACTAGACATGTATGTGTCCATACACAATATATACTGTTTAAAATTTTTGCAGTCTTATTTTACAGCTATACAAGTTATTCATATAAAAAATCAGATATTACAGACCACCCTAAGCCTACTTCTCTCCTCAGAGGTATAAATATAGCTAAATACAAGTATGCATTCTTCTAGACCTTTTCCTGAACATTACAATATTTGTAGTTTACAAAACATAACCTCTGCCATACATAGTATTCCTAAACTTGTTTTTTCCCCTTACACTTAGGTTTGTCTAGGGGCTTTTAGCCTGTCAGTACAGATAGCTCTATTTCGACTTCATTCTTTTAAACTATTGTAGAAGTATTGTAATTTGTGGTTTGGCTATACCATCATTTGTTTTGCCATTCCTCAGTAATGGATTTTTAGGTTGCTTTCACGTTTTTCATCTTTACAAGCAATGGTGTTTTGAGCCCTTTTGGATTCATCTTTATTTCTCTCAGGTAAGTATTAGAAACCAGAGTTGCTGGGCTGTTGGACATGCGTATGTTGTTTCTTTGTCATTGCCAGATTGCACACTCTAGGTTGGTTTTTACCACATTATACTCCCCATCTTGCTAATGATTAATTTACCTTTTTTCTTCTTCATAGGGTTTACTAGCATTGGGCATCAGTAAGTCTGTTCAAACACCAGATCCTACTCATCCGTAAGGACATTACTTTTATTTTGTTTTTGTTTGTTTTGGTGCCGAGTCATTGAAATAAAAGCCACTGAATTTTAGAAATCTGTTCATATGTCTGTAGTTTCATGTTAAAGATTTGGTCATTTGTTCCACTGAAGTATCTAAAATGTAGGACTCACTGCTGCATCAAAGTAAATTTAAGATGTATGAGGTGTGATCAAAAACTACAATGAATGTTTAAATTTTTAAAAATGTATTACAGTAAAAGACACATTGCCATTAATCCCCCTAATATACTCCCCCTTGCTTCAAACACACTTATCCCATCATTCTTGCCACTTTCTGAAGCAGTTCTGAAGTCCTCTTTCATGAGTGTCTTTAGTTGCGCTGTATTGGCTGCCTCCATGTCCTGTAATGATTCAAAACGTTTACATTTCATGGCCATTTTGACTTTGGGGAAGAGCCAGAAGTCACACAGTGCCAGATCCGGTGAATAAGGTGGGTGAGGACACACCATTATGTTTTTGTTTGACAAAAATTGCCTTACCAGAAGTGAAGTGTGACACGCAGCCTTTCCATTGTGATCAAGAAATACAGTGAATGCTGCTGCTGAGTGCCATCCAACAGAAAGGCAGGGAGGGATCTTCAATAAGGGAAGTGGTACTCCAAACCTTAGTAATAGTGTGCGACAAGTTTCAGCTTGTTCAGTACAGTCAGTCGGGTGTGAGCTATGGTTGAGAGAGAAGGTGTGTTTTAAAGTGTGCCATAAATCATCCATCATGGCAACGCTCCGTGTCACACATTGCTTCTGGTATATGGTAAGACGCTGACTTAAGAACATTCGATTTGTGAACAAATCGCAGAAATAGCTCACATGTCTGCCAGACATTGTCACAGTTGTGCTGCGGTGTGCTTACTGTACAGTGCGATAGTGTACAGTAGTACAGTGCTCAGCCAGAGCCCTGGATGTCCAGAAGCAAGAGGAAAAGCAGTGGTGATGTGGAGGGGACAGCTAGGAAGCACAAAGACTCACTTTGTCAGACTTACGAATGAGTCGGACTTAAGAACGAATCCAACTTACGAACTTTCTCCTGGAATGGATCTCATTTGTAAGTCGGGGACTTACTGTACAGCAATTTCTGTCAAAAATATTATGGTGTGTCCTCATCCACCTTACTCACTGGTCTGGCACCTTGCGACTTCTGGCTCTTCCTCAGTCAAAGTGATTCAGGACATCGAGGCAGCCACAACAGTGCAGCTAAAGACACTCACGAAAGAGGACTTTGAGAACTGCTTCAGAAAGTGGCAAGAACAATAGGATAAGTGTGTTTGAAACAAGGGGGAGTATCTAGAAGGGGCTTAATGGCAATGTGTCTTTTACTGTAATAATTTTTTTTAAATTTTAACATTCACCTTATTGTTTGATCACACCTTGTAATTTGAAAATGGAGTTTAAATTATTTTTATGCTTTGTAACAGCATAGAGATCTTATTATTTTCATATTTGATAATTAAAAACAGCACATATTTTGATCTTAGAGTTGTTTTATTTGGTCAGAGGAAATATATTGCATATTTAGACTAATAGGCCACTCAATTAAAATCTTAGTGATAACTTTTACTAAACCCATACTTAATTTATTTTAATCCTTTTATTGTGAATTGGAAATAGCATTCTGTTAATACTTCAAATTATTGACTTGTAAAATGAGTGTACTTTTTAGAATATATTATTTTGAATCATCAGTTATTTGATACAGAGATTTTTTTTGTTCCTTCTAACTAACATAACCAGCTAAAACTTTTGAATTCCACATGCATCATTTTTAAAAACATACTTCAGTAGTGGAATTTGGTCAATTTTAAGGCCAAAAAAATGCGCTTTTATTTCTGTAAAAGAGCTTACCTGTGTGCTTTATATAAATTTCTTTCTTTACTTGAAAGCAAGACACTGCTGTTTTCTTATAAATAATAACATATTTTGAATGTCCTAGAACTATGAATAAGCTAGTATAGAGACAAATTAGCTTTCTAGTCTAATTACACATCATCACAATATTTTACTATCTCAAGAAATTTTTTTTCTTGAGTAGTTTTATACACCAGAAATCTAAAAACAGGGTAAAATTTTAGGTTATGAAGATTTCTTCTCAAGGTATTTTCAGTAGTCTACATTAGTGCTGCCCAGTAGAATTTTCTACAAAATCTCTCCTATATACTAGTAATCACTAAGCTAACATGTAGCTGTTGAGTACTTGAAATGTGGTTAGTGCAACTGAAGAACTACATTTAAATTTTTATTTAGCTTTAATTAATTTAAATTTAAATAGCCTTATGTGGCTAATGCGTTATTTTGGACAGTACAGATCTAAAATTTTCAATAAGAAGCTATAAATTCCTAGAAAACACATAAAAGTCATGCCATTTGATTTAGATCTTAATTTACTTAAATATATATATCCTATATTACTTTTGGAGGAAACTTTAGAAAACAGTAAATTTTCCTAAATCAAGCTGGTAGAACATTGTCATATCTATAAAGTAAGTTTGAATTCCCTATGTCAAGATTACATCTTTGCAAAAAAATTTAAAAATCAACTTTAAGAATTCTTGTTTAAATTTTTATCTGCCAGAGGGTACCATAGAATTTGGATTTGGGGGTAAATTCCCCAGGAAATATTTTTATTGATAAATGGTTCTTTTTCTATTATAGTATGTCATATTTTTAAACTTCTTAATACTCAGTATCTTATTGGTATATACAGTAATACAAAGTATTGCACATAATGAACAAAGATGCTTGAAAAAGAATTGAGATTAAAAAAAATTGCCATAAAACACCCAGAAAAACAGAAACTCATAGTCCTAATAATAGTAGTAAGTTACTGTGTGTTAAACTAATCAGAACCAGCAACAAGTATCCAGCATCAAATTGTAGGTAATATAAATCATTTATTGGCTATATAAGAAGACCAAAATAATTCAATTAGGAGCTGCATTACAAGGAAATTTAAATGTTATCCTGTTCATTAAACATCTGAATGCATTTTTAAAAAAGATTAATTTTACCAGCATTTGCAGTATGTAATAGTAAAGTAGCACTACTAAATCAAAACAGACTATATGGGAAAAGGATTAGAAAATACCTGGATTAAATCATATTTACTCTTTTTATGTATTTTCAAAGATCTTGCAGTTTTTTCCACTTTATATATTGATTTTCTGATTAGATTTAAATTCGGCACTTACACTTTACTTAAACATAAAACCATAATATCTTAATATTGTGAGAAGTGGTTTTTTATTGATCTAGTGAACATATTTTGAAAGGAAATCATTTGTCTTTTTGTAACTATCATTTTTATATTTCAGGTATGGATTTTCAAATATGCGCTACATTGCTTCACTAATTAGTGGTGTTGGTATTTTCATGATGGGTGCAGGATTATCTTGGTACCATGGAGTCATGGGATTGCTTAACCCTCAACCAATGGAATCCCTTCTCTGGGTAATCTTCCCAACCCCTCAGTTTTGAAATAATATAAAATAGTGTTTAAGTATAGTAAAATGGCTTTGTAATATTGATGTTAAAGAATGGGGCTAACATATAGTTTCTTGACTGTGTCATTTAGGGTTATGTATCTGTAGTGTTTTTTAGAACATGACTGAATATGACCTCTAAATCCATACAATTTAGTGTCGTTGAACAAGAACAGATCTGTAGGTACAATTAGTAAGCACTGTCTCCTTGGTTAAAATTTGGATCAGTTCCATTAATTTCTGTAGTTTCTATTAAAGAACAAGAAGACTTCTATTCACTTTTAGTCCCAAGAATAATCTCTCAGTAATTAAAATATCCAATCCCATGGAATAGTCATACATCAGAATTGTAGTTAAAGTTAAAGCTCTTTTCCCTCATTCTGGTAGGAAGCCTCCACTGGGGGAATGGGAGGATGGGAGCATTCTGTATCTTCCCATCCAAGGCTTCTACCCTTGTCTCCTACTCCCTAGGTCGCCTCTGACTGCATTGAAAGTAGGGAGAGAGGACAAGAAAGTACTGCATGACTGGCATCAGTGTCATTTTTCACTGGTTTCCTCTGGCCTTTGTAGAGATTTAAAGAATTTTTTTTCTGTCATGGGCACTTACTTTTTGGAGATTACCCTTGGAGATTAACCTGCTTGGCCACTCTGACTATTGCTCCCTTGACAAGTACAAATTGGTCATGTAGCACCCCTTCTTAGCTTCTGCATCTCATGGTGTAATTCCAGACTATTTCTGCTGTGGTTGCTTTGTGTTTGGTCCAAAAAAATAATGTTGAAAATCCTACAGATGTTTGGTTTGAATTGCATTTAAATTTTTAAAAAATTTGTGTTACTAGGTTAACTCTTTCTATATACCTTGGGTTAAAGTTTCTCTTGATATCTTTATGTAATTCAGTAGTGTCCTGGGACTGCAAGGAAAATGGTTTTCCCCCAAAAAATTGATTACTGTTAATAGCTGCTTATCTTTTGAATTAAGATTCAGAAAGGATTCTCTTGGTCCTGGGCATCCAAACAAATCCAGAATTTACTTGGATATGGATGTGGGTCTTACTGCATCTGATATCCACAAGCCCAGATTTTAAATCTTTGTGTTAAATTTGAACTTCAAAAAAAATTTTTATTCCAATTAAGTAACTCTTTTATCTTTTATATCATGAATTTAGCTTAGGTCATGGTATAACATTCTGTGTGTGTGGGGGGAATATATATATATGTCTCTTCTAAGTTTTAAAAAGTGAGATAGCCATCAAATTTTAAAGCTTTTATCTGCTTCCTCATATGAAGATATCATATATATCTCATTTTCCTCATGTGAGCTGTTTCCCATCAAGATCTTTATCTGGCTTGGATTCAGATTTATGTTTCTGTTTTAAACATTATAAACTTTATACATGAATAGTTGTGATTCTTTAGTGAAATATTAATTTATGCTTTAATATTTATTTTCTAGGCATATTGTATTTTAGCAGGATCATTGGTATCTGAAGGAGGTATGTACTGTCATAGTATTTCTTTATTCTTAATCTAGTAATATATATTCAGCAGTCCATTACTATAGATTGCTAAGTTCCATTGATTAAATAAAACTGTGGGAATAGGAATCTAAGCTTTGTCTATTTTTAGGGAGTAAATTCTTTGTACATGTACTGTGGTTGTTCCTGTAATGGAGGAGAACAAGGGAAAAGCTAGTTTTTGGTTCTTGAGTATCTTATCAGAAAATTTAGAACATTCGAAATGGAGAACATTTGAAACATATCTATTGGGTTGTCGGAAAAGTCATGATGCATTTTTACAACGAAAAACAGAAAAAAATACGTCATGACTTTTCCGATAGCCCAATATATACGTACTGAGTTTTAAAAATCAGGTTTTAGTAGTATATTAATCAGAGAAGGCTGTCTCTTTTTTCAATACAAATATTTCAAAGTTTTTGAAAGTTTCTGCTATAGCAATATTATGACAGAAATACTACTATCATTTATGAAACTAAATAATTTACTGCTTTACTCTGAAACATTGTCACTTTCTATGCACAGTGTTTCCTTCATCTTTGACATTCTATAGAATGGTGATAACACCACCTGCCTCAAAAGGTTGGGAGGATCAAAAGTGATTATGCTTAGTGTGTTGCCTGCCAAATAGTAGCTGTCTAATAAATTAAGGCTGTTGTGATAATGATATTTAAATTATTTTACAAATATGGGAGTCATTATATTATGATGATTGATTGGGGTCTTGATAATTACTAATTAATACAGAACTTCTCCTTATTGCCAACCCTGGCATTAAAATGTTGTGCATCTTTTGAGATACCATCTTTAAAGTTTAGTGGCATGAAGTTTCTTCCTTGCTAATATGAATGCTTTTTTTTTTCAGCAACACTTCTTGTTGCTGTCAATGAACTTCGTAGGAGTGCTCACGCCAAAGGAATGTCATTTTACAAGTATGGTATGTATTTTAGAAGCCACGTGTATTATTATGTCCTTCAGTTGCTTAAAATTGCCTAGTACTATGGCTTTGTTCCTTATAGATATGTACAAAATATATCTGTGTCTTCCTTATGCGTGGCTCTTACATGTACATCAGCTCTTTTAAAAAGAACAATGTAATTTGAACATGAATACTTTATATTTGGATTTAACTTAAGTGAACTACAGTATTTCTGTACATGCTTATGTAACTTGAGAAAACAATTTGAACATGTAAGCCAAGAAATTATGTTTGCATTGAGCAGGTTTTTTAAAATCAGGATCTCATACATTTTTTATCTTAATTTAAATGGATAGTTATTAAAAAGTTACCTGAGAATATCAAGATTTCAGAAAGTTTCTTTCTTATCTTCCCCCATGATAAGTAATGGAAAGTCGTGATCCGAGTACAAATGTTATATTGTTGGAGGATACTGCAGCAGTCTTGGGAGTGACAATAGCAGCCACTTGTATGGGGCTTACGTCTATAACAGGTAACTATTCCTTAAATTACAGGTGATTTATTTGTTCTACTTAAATAATCCTCTAATATGGGAATTTTATATCATTGAAAAAAATTTTATTAATTCAAGTTTATTGGGGTGACAATTGTTAGCAAAGTTACATAGACTTTAGGTGTACAATTCTGTAAGAACATCATCTATATATCACACATTGTGTGTTCACCACCCACAGTCAGTTCTCTTTCCATCACCATATATTTGATGATCATTGAAAAATTTTAAACCAATAGATTGTAAGATGCTAATTTCATACTAATCTAACTTATTAACTAACTTATTTGTATAAGACATTTGTCAATAAAAGTGTTCAGGTTGCTCTGAGTTAGGAATTTCTTTTAGAAATAAAGAAAGCTGCTAATACAGCATTTCTGTAAAGCTCTAAACTTTTCCAGCTGTGACTTAATAAATTACAGAGTCATTCTGAGCTTTAAGTTTTTTTACCTATAGAACTATTGATATTTGTCTTAGCGACCTCACAGCTTTACTAACATAATATATGAGAGAGAGCCTTAATAAACTCTAAACTTCTAAATAAATGTATATTGTGGCTCTTGTTCATTTGTCTTTTTCACTGTTAGTGCCAATAATAAGTGCTATTGGTTTTCCATTTCCTTGAGACTCAAGTTGGTTCCATCCTCATTTTAGTAGCTAGTTAAGTGTTTTGAAGGCAGTACAATACAAGTGAGTAAGAAGACAGAAAAATTATTATTTTTTTTTCTAAAACAAAAGAACCATTTAGTAAGCAAAGACTCAAATTTCTGAGTTTGGAATTCTCTTGGAATGGAATTTCTTCCATTCTTATCCATTTGTTCTATATTTAAAAAAATTTTAGATGGTGAGCTCTCACAGTTCTGCAGTGTTTCTTAAAATAGTCTGAAATATGAATAGGATTTTCTCATTTTGAAATAGACATTTTAAGACTAAATCAGCATTCTCTTATGCTCACTGTGATCCAGAATATTTCTAAAATTTTTTATTGTTTTTCTGGTTGAGTTTATTTTAGATATTTTTTTGGACATAAATTGTTATTTAGCAAAATTTTAGGATTAAGAAAAGTGTGACTTGATGAATAAGTCAACTTTTAATAAGCTATTTTCTTTTATATAATGTTAGCCAGTCAAATCAAACTTATAAAATTTTTATGTTTTAAGAGTATTTTACATGAATTAAATCTTATTTAAGTAGTTAAATGAATTCATTTAAATTATATAGATAACAGGCCAAGAAATCAATAAAATATTTTCCAGTTAATATTCCTGGATTTCTGTAGGATTATTTATACATATATATTTTTAAATAAAAATAATTAAATTTGGATTTCTAAAGAGCAATATTTGATTTTGAACTCTATAGTTACAGACCTCCTAGTGATTTATATTTTAATGGATTATGTTTATGTAGATCATTTTTAAGATTTTAGTACAGATAAGTCAGTTTACTTTTTAGTATTCTATTTTGACTAACAGTAAAGCTAGTATCATTTTTAAAAAGTATGTTTTACTAAGCATTAAGAGAGTAAAATATAATATTGACATTTTATTTTTAGAATAAAAAGACTTCTATTCATAAAAGCTTTGGTGTAAAGTTTATTACAAAGATTTAAAATGTAATATTTATTGACATCTGTTATATAAATTAACCTATACATTCATAAACAGTAAATCAGCTCTGCTTATTGGTTCTGGGAGAGCATTAAGCCCTAATAACCGAAGGCAATTTTTAGAATCATAATCACCTGGAGGTTGGGAAGACACAGAATGCTAAACCCCACCTCCAGAGCTTTTGATTTACAAGGTCTGGGGTGAGGCTTGAGAATTTGCATTTGTACTAATTTCTCGAGTGATGCTGCTGCTGATCAAGGAACCACACTTTGAGAACTGCTGTAAGGTGTCCATAGCATATAATGGGTGAACTTTTTTTTTTTTCTTTAAATTTAGAATGTTGTTAGCTATGTATCGCCCTTGGTTGAATGAGAAAAGAATGACCCATATAATTTTCTGTATGGCTTAATTCTCTCACAGAACCTTGGTAAGAACACAACACAAAAAATGGTTATTTCTTTCATCTTTTGATCTCACAATTATTTTGTCAACCTAGGGTAGGAAAAGTGCTACTGATATTGCTAAAGGAAATGGACTCTTATTATATTATTAATATGTATATGAATTCTCTAAGTTGAAACTGAACCCTTACCTTCACTCATGTAATGACCAGATGCAAAAAAACAGATCTTAAATAATGAAACCCCATAATACTCCCATGTAATATGAAGCAAGTTGTATCATCCACATTTTGTAGTATGGTAAGACTATTAAGAGAATGTCATTAGAAGAATTTAAATGTATTTCAAGTCCCTTGATTTACTGATTCTGGTTCTTTGCTCACTGAAGCTCATTGAACTAATAGAAAAATGTTAATTTACTCACTCCTTATGTGCTTTATTTAGGCAATCCACTGTATGACAGCCTAGGTTCTTTGGGTGTGGGCACCTTATTAGGTGTGGTCTCAGCATTCCTCATCTACACTAACACAGAAGCACTCTTAGGGCGATCGATCCAGCCAGAACAAGTACAACGACTTACAGAACTCCTGGAGAACGACCCATCAGTAAGGTCAGCTTATTCCCGTGATGCTGTGAAGTTTTACAAAATCATTACGAAATAGAAATGCTTGGTTTGTAAATACCTCCAAAAGAGGTTTTGGAGCCCCATAGCCTTCAGAACTTTTTAACTTATTACTTTTGAGAATTGCAGCCTTACAAGAAAGAAAGTGTGAAAACATTTAGGAAACTCCTTGTTTCCCTTTAAATTTTGTATATCTTTAATTTTTAGAATAAAGAACAGTTAGATGATATAATGGGAACAGAGTTTGCAAAGTAGTTGCTTTCTTAACGTAGAACCAGTTAGGTGGAACTTTCATATTTATATTTGTCTTATAAATAATAACAAATTGAATACATTAAATTTAAAAAGACTTTTATTTGTGGGAACTTGATTACCAAACTTAAGTATAATTTATATTCCTTTTGAAAACAGACTTATTGTTTTAGCTATTTTAAAAGTTTTTCCATATAATCTTTATCTTTTAAATTATATAAGAATAAAGAACTGAAAATTTAGGAGCTAATCAGAAGAAATACAGAATTCTAATAGTACTTTTCAATGAAATTCAGTAGCAGTGTGTTTTCAGGGTGAAATGGAAGGAACAATTCTTTAAAATCCCAGTTTTTCCACTAGCTACATATATATTTTAAACTTTAAAATAAGAATGTAGTTTTCTTCTGTTATAATTAAAATCTGTAAGTTAAGTCTTTTAAGAATGATTTGCATATCTGAATCAGCAAAACAAATGAATAAGTGATTACTAGATTTATATTCTAAGCCCTATATGTTTAATCTTGAAAAGTAGTTACCTAGCTGTATCAAAATTAGAAGTTGAGCATTCATAAAATCAGTATTAGGCTTAGTAACTTCATGTAAGATAACGTGTATTAATATCCTTTCCTTGTGATGTCTTTGTCTGATTTTGATATCAAGGTAATATTGACCTTACAGAATGAGTTGGGAGTGTTCCCTCCTGTTCTGTTTTTGGAAGAGTTTGTGAAGAATTGGTAGTATTTTTTCTTGAAATGTTTAGTAGAATTCAGCGGCAGTGCCATCTGGGCATGGGCTTTTCTGTGTGGGTAGATTTTTGATTATTAGTTCTATCTCTTTACATGTTAGAGGTCTGTTCAGATGATCTCTTTCTTCTTGAGTCAGTGTTGGGTACTTTGTTTCTTCCTAAGAATTTGTCCATTCTAAGTTATCCAATTTGTTGGTTTATAGCATTTCTTTGTAGACTTTATTTCTTTAGTTTTGGTAGTAATGTCTCCTCTTTCAATTCTGATTCTAGTAATTTGAGTCTTCTCGCTTGTTTTTCTTGGTCAGTTTAGCTAAAGGTTTGTCAATTTTGTTGATGTTTTCAGAGAAACAGCTTTTGGTTGAATTCATTTTCCATTGCTTTTCTATTCTCTATATCATGAATTTCTGCTCTAATCTAAGAAGTTTCCTTCCTTCTGTTTGCTTTAGGTTTAGTTTGCTCTTTTTCCAGGGTCTTAAGATGGTAGATTAAGTTTTTGATTTTGTATCTTTCTTCTTAATGAAGGCTTTTATAGTTATACATTTCCCTCTAAACTCTACCTTTGTTGCATCCTATAAGTTTTGGTATATTATGTCTTCATTTTCATTCATTTCAAAGAATTTTCTAATCTCACTTTTAATTTCTTTAGCTACTGGTTTTTTAGGAGTGTGTTGTTTAATTTCCATGTATTTGCAAGTTTCCCAAATGTCTTTCTGTTACTGATTTCTTATTTTATTCCACTATGGTCAGAAATCATACTTTGTATTATTTCTATCCTTTTAAATTTACTGAAGTTTGTTTATGAGCTAGCACATGATCTATCTTGGATAATGTTCCTTGTGCACTTCAGAAGAATGTGTATTCTGCTGTTGTTGTATGGAGTGTAATATAGATGTCTGTTAGGTTTAGTTGGTTTATAGTGTTCAAGTCTTCTATTTCTCTGTCGATGTTTTGTTTAGGTATTCTATTCACTTTCGAAAGTTGGATATTAGAAGTCTCCAGCTTCCAATTTTTCTTCTTTCATTTCTGTCAGTTTTTGCTTCATGTATTTTGGTGTCCTGTTTTAGGTACATACTGGGAGTGCCAAAAAAATGTATACAAGTGGACACGTTGGTCAACATTGCTCAAGCAGTAGTTCGCCATAATCAGAAGTGTCTGCCTGGTACCCACTTTGAGCACCTCTTGTACTTGCAGAAGTCAAACATGACTTGTATTCACCTTTTGTTATTGGTATATATTGAGTATTACAATTTTAATAGTTTTCCTTTCTTAAAATGTGTATAAATTTTTTGATACCCTCTGTGTATGTTTATAATTTTGCATATATTATTTATAATTGAAGTCTAAAAATGGAGCTACAAATGGAAAGATTGTGGGATATTTTCAGTTTTCTGGGAGAGTGAAGATCGGTGTATTAAGTTGTTGGAAAAAGTAAATGTTAATGATCCAGAAAGTGCAGACAGTTTTTATACAGTGTATTAGTTATCTATTGCTATGTGAGAAATTACCCCAAAACTCAGTGACTTAAAACAACATTTATTCACAGTTTCCACGGGTCAGGAATGCAGGCATGGTTTACCTGGATCCTCTACTTTAAGCCTTCTCCCAGACTGCCATCAAGGTGTTAGCTGGGACTGTAATCATCTTCTGGGGATGGCTCTGCTTCTAAGCTTACTCACTTCATTACTGACAGGATTTAATAATTTTTCATCACATGCGCCTCTCCAACACGGCAGCTTGCTTAATCAGAGTATGCAAGCTGAGAAGGCAATAGAAATTGAGGATGAACAAGATAAAAATCATAGATTAGTCATCTGATATTGGAAATGATATCTCATAACTTTCCATGTTCTGGTGGTAAGGAGCAAGTCACTAGGTCTAGCCCGCATGCAAGGAGAGAGGATTGTACAGGAATACAGGAGGCAGAGGTCATAGGGAGCCATGACAGAAGCTGCCTATCACCGTTTTTTATTGGCAGGTAGTTATATATAAGAAAATAAGGAAAAAGTATATTAGAATATTTTCACTAGCTGCTATTCAAGTATTAGCCAAATAATCATATTTATTAATATTTTATGAGGACTGAAGTAAATATGCTTTTTAAAAAAAAACAAATAAATTATATAGCCTCTTGCCAATCTGGATTAGTTTTATTTCAATTTGGGCATATATAACTATGAATATTAAATCATTAATTCTTATTTTCATGCTAGATAGTTGATAAATATGCGTCTTTATTTATATGGATAAAGAGTTTTAGACTCAGTATTTAGTAACTGGCTCAAGATCACTCAGAAATTAGGGTCAAATGTTTTAAGAGTACTTGGAGTCTCACTTAGGCTTGTTTTCCCAGTAGCTCTCTATGTCCCCAGGATTCATTGTTTTCTTTTTCTCTTATATATCCTGTAAAAAAAAGATGTTATAGTGATCACCATAAAAGAAGCTAATTTAGTAATGGTTGTTTGGGGAAGATGGATTCTGGAGGGTTAGGGCACGAGGGCTGAAAAGCAGTTACACTTGAGCATCTGCTTCCCGTTCTGGGAGGCGAAATGGTGTAATGGAAGGACCATCTAAGGATGGTGTTTATATTGACGGGAAGACTCTGAAGACCTGGGAGTGAGTCCTGTGTCTGCTGTTGACTGGTTGAATTACGTTGGGCAAGTCACTTAGGCCCCTGTGGTACTGTTTTATCATCTGTAAAGTAAAGATGCCATCTTACCTACTTTGTGAAAGCCATTCAATAAATGTCTGCCGTGTAATTGGTATCATATTAAGCATTTTATATATGTGTTGACTCATTATTCCCCACATCAACCCCATTAGGTAGTTACTATAATGTTAACATTATTCTAATAGAATACTTCACAGCATTGTATGAAAACTTTTAAAGAAGCTATTGAAAAAAGGACAAGGAAATTATGAGATAAAATGACCACATTGTAGAAAAGCAATTTAGAGCTGAGTTTTTAAATCTACCAAATTTATAATTCATATGTATACAGATTACCATAAAATAGTATTTATTAAGTTTACACCTTTGTAAGGCATTATATAAAAACAGCTAAATTGACATTTGTTTGGAAAAATAATTGGTGGCACTTAATGGTGAACACTCTGAAAACCATTTTAGTCCATTTTCATCGTTGGTGGAAAAAACAGTTCTAGACTTTTGTCGTTGAAATGTATATGTGTGTGTATACATAAATTTGTAAGCATTGTTATTGATTACAGGGCAATTCATGATGTTAAAGCCACAGATTTGGGATTAGGTAAAGTAAGATTTAAGGCAGAAGTAGATTTTGATGGACGAGTTGTTACAAGATCATATTTGGAAAAACAAGATTTTGACCAAATGCTACAAGTAAGTTTATGTATTGATTGTTTTCTTATAAAGCCAACAATTAGAAAAATTAATTTTTTAAGTAAATAAGATAAAACTTTTCTTTTACAGCTCATGAAGTCACTTCAGCTTTCAACTTCTTAGGGTGCAAAATTTGACAGAGACCCTTTTATTTACTGTAGAGTGGGTCGGAGGAGACAACAGAAGCGCAAACTTATTATTAAAGTGCTCGTTATGTGCCAGGCATTTTATGTATATTATCTTATTTACTCTACTTGACCGTGGGAGGTAAAGAAATAATATTTTCATTTTTATGTATGGGCAGATTGAAGCACAGAGATTAAGTAACTTTCCTAATATTGCAGAGCCGTAATATGGAGGCACATAAGAATGTAGATCTCTGTGCCCACAGATTGCGCTTTTTTTATTAAGAATAGTTTAAAAGAGAATTTACAGAGGATAATATAATGAACAGCACAGAGGTTACCACTTGCCTTTGTCAAATCTTAATATTTTACCTTACTGTATTTGTTTAAGATCTTAAAAAAAAGAAATCATTACAAAAACAGTTGAAGTCCTTGTTTTCTGATTCTAGATCCCATTTTCTTTCCTCCGTCTCTAAAACTAACAATCATTCTGAATTTAGTACCTGTCATTTCTATTTAGGTTTTTATACTTCTCAATATATTTTTTAGCATAATATATAATAACATTTTGGATGTTTAAAAATTGATATGCGTGGTGTCATATTATATGATTGCCTCTACAATTTCCTGAATAGCATGTTTTTGAGATTCTTCCATGTTAATATATGTACCTTTAGTTAACTTACTTTAATTGCTATATAACATTATATCTTATGAATGGTTGTAGTTTATTTATCCAGTCTCCAGTTGGTGGACATTTATATTGTGTCCAGTATTAAACTGTTAGAAACATGCCACAATGGCATTCCCATACATGTTTCCGTGGTTGCATGTGCAAGGATTTCTTTAGGGTAATGTACAGATAGATTTAAAATAGACGAGACATTGGGTGAACATATCTTCCACTTCTCTAGACATTTGCAAATTTTTCTCCAAAGTAGGTCAATTTAACTTCCACCATTAGTGTATCAAATTTCTATTATTCACATTCTTACTAGACTGTTGACAGAGTTTTGAAATTTTTGTCATTGTGATAGGTGTGAAATAATATCTCATTTTAATTTATATTTCTCTGGTAGTAGGGAGGTTAATAAACATTGAAATTCATTGACCACTGGGATTTTCTCTAGTTCTTTGTTTAATTTCTGTTATTCTGACAGTTTTGGAAACATTTTTAATATGCTATATATTAATCCTTCCTCAGTTGTGTGTCTGCAAATATCTTTTTCTGGTTTGTGATTTACCATTTACTTTGTTGTACAGAAGATTTAATATGGTTTTTAATTTCATTGTCAAATTTGTAATCTTTTTCTCTGTGTGTTTTATTATCTTGCTTGAGAAATCCTTGCTTATCCCATTATCATAAAAATACTTTTTTTTTTCTAGAAGTTTTATGGTTTTCTTACCTTTAGGTTTTTAGTACACTTAGAAGTGTTTGTTTTGTTTAATGGTTTGAGGTAGGGATTTAATATAATTTTTTTCTTACAGAAAAATAATTGCCCTGACAATATTTATTGAATAATCTATTCTCTTCCCACTAATTTGTAATGCTGCCATAGTGTAACATTGTACTCAATTCTTTCTTGAATTTAAGTTTTTCAGAATTAGGTGGTTCATTACCTATGGCTGGAAAATTTTTCATTTTTCATTAAATTTAATGGTGTTACAATTTTTTTAAAGAAATCATCAACTTACTGCTATGATTTTTAAAAAACTATTTGTTTTTTTGCTATCATTTTCTTTATAGGAAATTCAAGAAGTGAAAACTCCTGAAGAACTAGAGACCTTTATGCTTAAACACGGAGAAAATATTATTGATACTTTAGGAGCTGAAGTCGATAGACTTGAGAAGGAACTGAAAGTAAGATACATTCATAATAATAATATAATAATAATGTCTATTTCTTGAGTACTTACTCTGTGTCAGACACTATGCTAATTGCATCACATCTATCCTCATCTTCTCAGCAACCCCATGATGTATTGGTAGCTGTGGGAGGGAAAATGATTGGGTTAGAGAAGTTGGATAATTCGCTCAAGGAAATAAGGGAATTGGGATTTGAACCTATTTGTTCAATTCCAAATTCTAATCTTTTAGTCACTATTCTATACTGCTTGCTTAGTTTCTGAAAAAATCAAATGTTTTTTGCTTCTTTGTTTTTAAATAAGTATTTAGAAAGTTTCTAGAGAAAGGTAAAAGGGAAAGTTTAGACTTTTCAAAAGTTAGGAAATATAGCCTATGATTTTCAACATATACATACATCTTACTTTTAGTCCATTTGACATTATTTTATATTTTCTGTTTGTTTCTGTTCAGTTGGAGATCATTACAACCAACTGGTTATTTTACTGAAATACTACTTGATAAGATTGCCTTTTAAAATGTCTCAGTGCTCTCCAATTGTCAATCATTGACATATGAGTTTGTTTGCAGTGAATAAAACTTGTAAATGATCTTTAACATATATAGCTTATTGAAAGCCATGCATTTTTTTAGTTGATGTTGACCAGTCTTTAGTTTTGCTTAAAATTGAAGGGAAACAAAAACAAAAATTGAGGGGAAACGTTTCTATCACGGCTTTATTATCTTTTCTTTTAGAATCTAGATACCTGATCAGATTAATAGAAGTTCTTCAAATAAGATGATTTTGTTAATGTTAATATTATAGTTCACAAGCTTTATCAGGCATTATTTTTTAAGTTTGTAGATGAGCAATTCTCAAATATTTTGGTCTCAGGACTCTTTTCGTTCTTAAAACTTATGGAGGACCCAAAGAGCTTTTATTTGATTTATATTTATTGATATTTACCAAAATATAAATTAAAATTGAAAAATTAAAAAATATTTATTTAAAAACATAATAAATCTATTGCATGTTGGTATAAATAACATTTTAACATAAAATAACTATTTTCCAAAATGAAAAAAATGAGTGATATTGTTTTGTATTTTTGCAAAAACCTGAGACAGGTAGATTCCTATACCTGCTTCTGCATTCAGTTTGCTGCCATATATTGTTTTGGTTGAATATGAAGGAAGGTAGGCTTTGTAAGTGTTCTAGCCTTTTCAGGTAATTATGATATTCTCTTTAGACATTACACTAAAACCTGACAGCCTGTTAAAGCTTGGTTGTAATGTGGAATCTGAAACTATATCAATGAACTTTTTATTTACTGTTTGTGAAGTTAGGGGGCACAGCACACAAGACCACCCTCGTTTCTAACACCAATTGCAGAGTTCGAGGGGTTCTTAGAGCACCCTTGCGTTAGAAAATTCACTAGGCCTCACAGAACTCCCTAACTGCTATTATACTCACAGTTATGGTTTATTACAATGAAAAGATACATATTAAAACCAGCCAGAGGAAGAGGTGCATAGGTCAGAGTTACAAACACAGAGCTTCATGTGTCCTCTTGCCTTGGAGTCATGGACAGTATTTCTCTCCTGGCAACAATGTTTAGCAGTTAGCATGGAGTATTGCCAATCAGAGACTCTCAACTAAGCCTTGATGTCCAGAGATTTTTATTGGGCTTCATAGCTGGACTGTCTGAGATGACCTTTCATTTTCAGCCCCTCCTGGAGGTAGAGCAGATACTGTGTGGACATAATTATCAGGCAGGATCCCAAGGGCCTAGAGATCATCTCCCAGTAGCCAGTAGGCAAAGGCCAGACCTTTCTTTGGATATGATTAATTCTCTACACTATTATATTAAAATCTGTTGGTCTGTCTGAATTTGTCTTTTACCCATGCAGAATTCTGTCACATTATGGAAAATAATTGGTTGACTGAATTTATGTACATCTTTCAAATGTTACATTTCTAAGTAAACGCTGTCAGGCTCAACAGTGGTGGATATGAGTTTTCTAACATTCTAATTTTCACTTGAAAGCTTGTGTTTTATCATTAGCAACAAATACTTTTAGTTATTTTCTTTGAAGTAACAGACTCATTTTGTTAATTTTTTAGCAGATGCCTGTTGAATTCCCAAATTTGAATAACCGTAGTTTCTTGGGTATTCTTTTAAGTAAAAATGGTGTTTAGATTAAAAAAAAGCATCTGATTCAGCTCATAACTCAATCACAGAAGTGTTTTTCCTTATGACAACGTCAGACTTCAGTATCAAGCAGAAGGGCTTTATACCTACTTCCCATTTTGTCACAGGTAATTTTTTAAAGTGTACTCAGGGGTTCAGGTTTAATAAACCAGTACTTGTTCCTACTTTATGAAGGATATTTTAAAGTGAAATTACCTTTTCGTTTTTTTAACTGTGAATGGCAGTAAAGGAACAAAATGACTACCAGTATAGTTTGGTGCCATTTGCCTTGAAGTTTGCAAAGGTGCCAACAGTTTTATTCACCATTGCTTTTATGCCATCAGAGGAAATTTCAGCATAGTTAAAAAAGCAAATAACATCTTAGTGTTATTATGAAAATAGTTTCGAGTCCTCCTGAAAAGGTCTCAAGGACCCCAGTTATCCTTGGAGCATACTTTGAGAATTACTCCTCTAAATAAAATGTGAGGTTATTATTTTTGTGCAGGGTGACACAAGAATGAATAACTTTGCTTTTCTGATCTACCTGTTCTTATTCCCCTAGCAAGGAAAATAATGAGCTTTTAAACTAAATATTTTAGCTTTACTTTTTAATAGAAACAATAAGTCAGAAGTCAGATTTAAGAATAAATACTGCCGTGGTGTGGAATTAGCCCCTGGTCGTTCTCAAAATGTGAAAGTATTGACAGACTTTACAAAGTGGGAGAGCAAAGGAAGTTTTTATTAAAGTTAGGGCAGAGAGAGAATGCCCATGGCAGTGTCCGAAGATAATGGCTACCTCGGGTGGTGAGGAGAGAAGTACCAGTAGGGAGGGGCTGCCGGGGGCAGAGTCTGATAGGGACAGCTGCTGAGACCGAGGGGTAAGAGAAATGCTGGCAGAACGGGGTTTGCCAGGGAAGTCTGATAGACAGCTGCTGCAGGTAGTAAGGAGAGAAGCAAAGAGAAAACAGATGAATATCTGCAGACAAACTAAGTCTACAGGTGGCTAGATAGCAAGCTATTCGGTGAGTCAGACTGCAAACTAGCTAAATCTAATTGTTATTGATTTACTGAATTTCAACCTTACAAATACCAAATTGATCGTTCTCAACTGTACTCTTATCATAATCAGATAAGCTTATTGTTTTTGTTAGCTTTGTGTTTAGATTGGGATCTATTTAATCATTAATAGTTTGACCTGTCTCATAAGTGTTTTTGAATTATATATGTCTTGTGAACCAGGAAGCCAAGTTTAACCCACATTTTCAGGTGAAAACATCTCTAAGGTAATAAGGCATATAAGTAATCCTAAGTCAAAGAAAGTTCTTCTAAGGCACCAAAGAGAATGCATGAATGTAATTCTTCTTCCTTGTCATGAAAATAGACTGATTTTTTTTTTAACTTAGAACTTTGTACACTGACATGTTCCCTCCTTTTTAGTAGTTAAGCATGGTTTCCTTCTAAGTTCAAATTTTAATAATTGTTGAATTACTTTGGAAGGTCACACTCAGTGATACAGTTCTTCACCAGAATAGCAATCTGTTGAGTAATGCCATTGATCCATGTATTAGAATAAGTGATATTTTTAGCCTAAAGTCTATAACTCGCATATTTCTATGTAAAGATGGTAAAAATAATAGAAGCTGGTTTATAAAGTCCCATGTCATAAATGTGAGCTATATCTTGTTATTATTTTGAAGGTCTTTGAACTGTTAACTCAAGAAGGTTTTTTTTGTTGTTCTACCTCTATATTTCAGTCTGTGGACAGACGCTTCTCTATCCCTCCGTGAAGTTTTTTTGTGTTTGGGGGGAAATAATTCTATTGGAAATTGATTCAGTGGGAAGATGCCACAGCATTTGCAAATTCCTAATAAGTAATGTTCCAGTTAAATACTCTGCTCTGCTCTTTGTCTTTTGCTTCTTTGATTGAATCCTATAGCATTTCCTTAACTCGAGACTGCAGCATTACAAAATAAATTACATAACATGAGTACTTGAATAAAATCTGTGGTATGTAAAATGCCCCACTTTGCATTGAACAGTGCCTAGGACATAATAGATTAGTTAAGTAAGTATTTGTTGAATAAATGAATGAAAATTACAAGTCAGATACCAATTATTGATGTTCAGTTCTATTTAATAAATATTTATTCAGTTTCTGTTATGTACATGATAGCTTGTTAGGCACTAAATATTAAAATTTAAGGATATTAATCTTATTTTTTTATTCTTTCATTTTGCAAACACATTTCTGTGGCTGCTTTGTATTGGGCATATTATATTTTAGGAATTTGATTAATTTTCTCTCTGAAAATGATTTTTAAAAGAGCAGAGTGAATTAACTTTTTGGTTTCTTTTTCTTGAGATCAGATTGTTATTAGTACACATTTGTTATATAGTGCTCATAGATACAATAATTTTAAACTTTCCACGAACAGCTAAAATTTTCAAGAGATATTGGGATGGGTAATAGTTGAATGGAGTGGGAAAATAAAATTCAGTTTCATTTCCCTTTGAGGAAATCTTTTTTAATTTCAGATTGAATTTAAGGCGTTCTAGACATACTTTAAGATAAAGAAAACATTGAGAAGAAAAGTATGCCCCCCACCCCATGTTTGGGGGTCCTTGGCCACTCTTAAATTAGGATCCAGGAGAAAGTACCCCCATCTGTATACATTTGAACAACACAAGTTATAAGAAAAATCCCAGTGCACACTCAGTAGAATGCTCTAACTGGAGCTAAAACTCCAACATTATGCCAAGTTTTGTCTTTATAACTGAATTTCTTTAATATGAGTAATATGCAGATGTTCCTAGGATATTTTTTAAGTTAGAAATGATTGATCATGGGGCCGGCCAAGTGGCTCAGTTGGTTAAGACTTAGCTTAAGAGCAGAGCTCTGAGCAACAGGGTCACTGGTTCAATTCCCACATGGGCCAGTGACACTGCACCCAAGCTGAGCTGCTGCTGAGCTGCCAACAGATGGCAGGATGGCTCAGCTGGTGAGAGCATGTGCTCCTAACAGCAAGACTGCCTGTTCTATGGTGGGCTACGCCCGCCTGCAACTAAGACTAAACTCGGCACCTTGAGCTGAGCTGCCACCCGGATGGCTCAGTGGATAAAGCATGCACTCTTAACAACAAGGCTGCCAAGGGCCGGCCGAGTGGCTCAGTTGGTTAAGAGCTCGCACAAGAGTGCGAGCTCTGAGCAACAGCGGTTCGATGCCCGGCTCGGGCTGAGTTGCCGCTGAGCTGCCAACAGGTGGCAGAATGGCTCAGCTAAAAAAAAAAAAACCAAACAAAAAACCAAGAACAACAAGGCTGCCAGTTCGACTCCCACATGGGATGGTGGCTATGCCCACCCACAACTAGGACTGAACTCAGCACCTTGAGCTGAGCTGTCACCCGGATGGCTCAGTGGATAGAGCATGCGCTCTTAACAACAGGGCTGCCAGTTCGACTCCCGCATGGGATGGTGGCTACGCCCACCTTCAACTAAGATTATAACAGCACCTTGAGCTTAGAGACTATGAGCTGCCTGAAGGTGACTGGCGCCCTCCACAACTAAGATTGGAGAACAACAACTTGGCTGGTCCCCCTCCCCAATTCCCCAAAACTGTTCCCCTCCCCCAATTCCTGAATTTTTTTTAAAAAAGTGAATTAAAAAAAGAAATGATAACTGCTCGTTATCAGAATCACTTAGAGGAGCTTTTTTCCCTTGTTGATTTATTTTTACAACTTTAATCAAGTATAATATACGAAGTTTATAAAGTCAAACAGAACTGAAAAGCTTATAACAGAAATAAGTGTCATTTGCCTCACCCTCTTCTTTTCTTAATTTTATTTCTCAAAGATTACCATTTTTAATACTTTTTGCATTTTTTATATTTACTGCCATATTTCTACTTAGTCTTAATACTGCCCCTCTTGATTTAAGCATTGTTTTGTTTTTGATAGGTGTAGATTTTGTTATTTTATACACTTTCTATTATCCCCTATTCTGACAATATTCATTATATTAAATTTTATTGCACTTTTAATTCCTCCAGAATTAAGTATCCTTCCTTTATGCACCCATTGGGGGGAAGGGGGGAGCCAAAATCTTTACTTTGCTCTGTAGCAGCAGACTGTTGTAATTGCCTGCTGACTTCCCTGTCTCCTCACCTCACTAGACATTAGTTCATCAAACCAAGTGCTATTTGTTTCCTGTTAACTGTTGTATATACTTCAGTGCCTGGCACAGGGTAGGTATGTAATAAAGATATTTTTGTTGTTATTGAATTGAAGTTCCTAAAGCTGGCATTTAAGATTTTTCACACCTGGCTTCTGCCTCCCTTTCCAGCCTCATCACTAGCCTTGCCTTTTTCGTAGCTCCTGTGCTAACTGTACCATCTGTCAGTACATACTTTCCAGGCTCACTGACTTCGTCATGCTGTTCTTTTCTGTCTAGACCATCATAATCTATCTGGAAAACTCATCACGTTCAAACCTCGCTTAGATATTATATCCTCAGTGAAGTCTTTCTGGATCTCATGAGCATAAGTAATAGATCTCACACTTTTGTTCCCAGAGGTATTATTTAGTACATTGTAATAGTTAGGAGCTTGAGGTCTGGAATCAGGCCTGGAATCCATCCTGGCTCCATCACTTACTAGCTGTGTGACTTGGGACAGGTTAGATTATTTCTTCAAACTTCAGTTTTCCCATATGTAAAATGGAAATAATTGGGTTATTATGAAACCTTTAAAAGCACATTCACCTGAAGCCCCTTACTTAGTGTAATACTTGACACAAGAATAAGTACTTATTAAATGTTAACTGGTATTATTAGCTATAGTGCTTATGCTCGTAGATGATTATTGCCACACTGTGTTCTTGGTTAAACTGAGGCCCTCAGGGTTAGGAACAGAGTCTTACTAAATAATCATAGCTCCACTTCCTAGCATAATGCCTGCCCAAGACTATGGATTGTTACTCAAATGAGTCAATATCAGTGTATTTTTTCTGATTGTTATTGTTTTGCAGTGATGTCTTTTCGCCAAAAACAAGCATATTTCCAGTGCTTTGCAATGCTTGGCACATACTAGATTCTTAATCCATTATTGTATTAATGAATATAAGAACAAACTCATGGATGTGAGACTACTTACTGTATCATTTATAGTGTGTTTGATCTGTTCATCTATTGATCTTATTTTTTTCCTTATGCAAATATTTCTCTTGCCAGTATGCTGCAATGAAATAGTTTGACCAAATGTTTTCATTGGCTTTATTAATCAAAAGGAATAAAAGAAAACAGAAAATTCTGTTTTGCCAAGAGTAATGTGGTGGTGTTTTTTTCCTTCCAGAAACGAAATCCTGAAGTTCGACATGTAGATTTGGAGATATTATAGATTTGATGGAATGAATCACCTTGGAGTGAGCTTTGGAAACAAGTTTGTCAAGACTGCTCTCCCACACTGAAGGAGTCAGCGCCATTCAGCAGCCATTTTTTGTTTTTAAGATGAAGGAAATATTTTATGTAAAGGGCAATTCAGCAGTCCACAGAACTAAAACTACTTCTTACTTCTAAGAGACATACTACAAGTTGAATCAATTTGGAAATCATGTTTTTGTTTTAGTAGGGACCACTTTTGTTACTTAAATTGATCTAATTTCTCATTTTAGCCTGTATTGGGTATAATGTACCTTGCAATCATGTTTCCTTTCTTCACTTTGGTAAAAATAAGCAACATCCATAGGATTATGATTTTTAATTTTGTTTCCACTGAAGATTTCACTCCATCAAAACCTGCCAATCTTGAATATGCTGGCTAAATCTTGGTTTCTGGTTTTTAAATAGTCACTCCATTTTAAAGTCTGTCTTTCCTTATAGAATGTGGCAAGTATTTCAACATACCATGTAATTTTTCCCTGAGCACAAGGAGGAATACTTTCTTAACCTAGTTATCCATAAACATTCATTCCAGTAGTGGCTTAGTTACTGAACTGAAGGAAGGCATGTCAGTACACTTAGGTCATCGTAGTTGCTGTTTTCTAAAATTTCTTAATTCACCCTTTACTTTTTTCCTTATCTGGTTTAATTTTTCTAATGGTAAAATAACCCTAGTTGTTTCCATGGGCCAGTGTAATAACTGGTTTTTTGTTTTTGTTTTTTAACTGGCTTCAGTGCCATAATGTGTATTTACTAGGAAATGATGCATTTCTAAGTACTTTGACATTCTGTAAAGTGGACTAGAAATATTTATAATTTTATAGACAGGACAGCATTTTATGTTTAATTTATTTTTAAAGAGGCACTGCTTATGTAAACCTGAACTGTGGGATATTTCTTACTTTAAGAGAAAGAGAAGTAAATCTCTTAGGCAGAAACTTGTGCCCATGATTTTGTATAATATCATAAAAAGTGTGTCTGTAACATGAGTTTCTTGCAGTTACAAATGGGCATTTAGTATAATATATGACTATAACTGTATGTAAGTAGCTTTCTAATGATCATAAGGTATCAAGATGAAAAAACATGTAATTCAGTAATTGAAAGTTTAGTGCAAAACAATAGCTCTGTCTCCATTCATCAAAACAGCTCAGATGCACTTTAAATTGTTCAGGTAGCAGTGAGCATTGTCCATGGCTAGGTGATCTCTTTGCTGGATAAGTGAGTGCTTGACATAAGAACCTAACTATCTGTGTGAGGTCAGTGTCTAAAAACTTACTTAGATTTAAGTTTATGAATTAAAGCAAATTGTAGTGCTGCAAACAAAAAATAAACATTTGATTAAAGGGGTTGTAATGGTAATTTTTTTATCTAGAAATGTCATTTACTGGAAAATTTACATTGGCGTACTTTTTTTACCATTATATAGCATTTTGCATGCCGTACATTTTAAGTGAAATGACATTCCAGTTTTATTTTTTAAGATATAAAATTGTGAAAAATATGTATATATATATATATAATTTGATTCTCTTCTTATGGTTTCAAATTCTTTACCCCTACTTTTTTCTGAAATATTTTTTTATCCATTCTAATTCACTCTATACTTTATCTATGTTCTTCCTCCCCTTTCCCAGCTGCCACTTGTTTTTCTATGTCACTGCCATGTAGGAAGGTACCAAATTATATCCAGTTACCTCCTAGTAAAATTACTCTGAAAAATATAGCTAGACAAGAATAATTAACTCATTAAAAAAAAATCTCAAAGTTGGTATGCAGAAGTTATTCCAAATCGCAATTATTTTAGGACTTTCTAAAAGCCAATTCCTGATATTTCTATGAGTTCTCTAATCTGATTTCATTGAGATCAGACCTATTCTTAAATAATGAAGGCTTATGTTTCTGTCTTTTATTTCCAGTTCGGTTCTGCACTGATATTTTAAAGTTTGTTTAAGCAAAATTTGACATCAAGTACAGTATATCAAGCAATTTGAATATTTCTGTGAATCAGGAAATGTATGACATCTCTGGTTTATATTTTTTTCTTTTAAACTGGAGTCAAATTTGAGTTTTAAAACTAGGGATTTTGGCCTGTTTTATTTAAAAATAAGATAATATGTAGTTGTTCAGTTTTCTTGGTTTTGTTGTTTTTTTCAAATTAATATGTCTGACTTTAAGTTTTGCCCTGATCCATAGCGTTTGAATATTTAAATATATAAATCTTAATATTTTCAAGGAAAATAGCTTCTGTAGGAGAATAATTGCAAAAGTAATGTTAGAGAAGAGGGTAGTCAAGGGCCATGACTCCTCTTTGTATTAAGCTGAAATCTGGGAACAGTCAGAGGTGAGGTATACTTGTTTTCAGCTTTGGCTAATGGATATCTAATCAACTCTTAAGTATCAGGCCCCATACTATGTAAGGTGGCACATTTTTCAGACCATGGCAGAGAGGGGAGAAGAGATGGAGACCTATTTTTAAGTGTACCCTGTTGATAGCCAATAGTATACAATTCCAAAGAGGGAGATTCCTGAACATGTAGAGGAAACTGGGTGATAGGATCAGATTGGAAAATTTTCACATTCCCCCCACCAAAAGTTAATCTCTGCATACATCATCCTGCACACACACACACACCAAATAATCCAGAATAACAAAATGACATAAGATTGAAGTTGGGGTATATGATTTTATTGTTATCTTAATTGTCGCATTATTTGGATAATGCTTTTTGCTAAAATTATACCATCTAAAGGAAATGGCTTAAGTTTTAAATCTCATAACTTTTTGAGGTAGAATGATGGGAACTACAGAAAATTACAGACATTGGGAATTTATACTGTCTTGCTCAGATTGCATTTGTCAGGCTTTGGCACTTCCTTTAAATGTGATGACCCCCAATTTGCCAAACTGTCAAAAGTCAGTGAAGCAAAGAATTGAGGTAAAATGTTGATGCGAAGATTGTGTCCCCTAAATCCCTCATCTCTGTTTCTTAAATGGAAATTTGGAAGGCATTTATATAGCAGATTGGTCTGACAGCCTTCATATTTGCATTTAAGTTTACTAGCATTTGTAGAAATGGTTTTATGGGAAAAGAAAATTTTGTTTCTATTACATTGTATTTCAACTGTGTGATTTCGCTGGCAGGTTAAGATGGTCCTGGTCCCTCAGGATTCTTTTTTTTTTTTCTTAATAAATGTCATGTGTAAATAATAGCAGTTCACTTTTTAGTTTGGGACTTTTTTTCCCCAGTGATAAATAAATGTTTTTGAAACAAATCGTTCTTTACCTCATGTGTTAAGAACTAAACAGTGTAATTGGATACATTTTACCTTAAAAATAATGCCCATAGTTGGGGGAGGCGGGGACTAATACCCATAGTTTTTTGGGGGTTTTTTTTTACATTTTTAAATTTTTTAAAAGATTTTTATTAAAATATATGTAACATACAATATTATATTAGGCCAGGTCTACACCATAGTTATTCAACCCTTATATACCTAAAGAAGTGATCACCATGATAAGTCCAGCAACCATCTGACACCGTACCACCAATATTATTGACTATATTCCCTATGCTGTACATTACATCCCCATGACTTATTTGTTTTATACTTGGAAATTTGTACCACTTATTGCCTTTCACCTTTTCCTCCCTTTTTTAATTTATCAATTACAGTTGACATTCAGTATTATGTTGATTTCAGGTGTACAGCATAGTGGTTAGACATTTATGTAATTTAAGAAGTGATCCCCCTGACTAGTTTAGTACCCACCTGGCACTATACATAGTTATTATATTATTGTCTATATTCCCTCTGCTTTACATCCCCATGACTATTTTGTAACTACCAGTTTGACTTTTTTTTTTTTTCCTGCGGGAGTCGAACCAGCAACCTTACTGTTAAGAGTGCATGCTCTATCCACTGAGCCATCCGGGCCCCAGCTCAGCTTAGGTGCCGAGTTCAGTCCCCGCCGCGGGTGGGTATAGCCCACCATCAAACAGACAATCTTGGGCTGGCCGAGTGGCGCGTTGGTTAAGAGCTGGCTTGGGACGCCCCTGTTCGGATCCCACATATGAGGGCCAGTGACATTGCCCTCTACAGCTAAGATGCTGAACAACAGCTCAACCTGGAGCTGGGCTGCCGTGAGGCGATGGTGACGGCGTCGGCTGCAGCCCCTGCTGCAGTGGGTTGCCGTGGGCTACCGTGTGTAGCCAGCAACCAGCGTGAGCGGCCAGCAGCCGCTGTGAGCGGCAGTCCAGAAGCCAGCGACTAATCTGCCTTGCCCGGGAAGAGTGCAATGATGGTGCCAACTTGGGCCAGTGAAGCAACGTCCTCCACAACTAGACTGAAGAACAAAAGGACCGCAACTTGTCTGTTCCCCTTACCCCAATTCCCCAGTGCTGTTCCCATCCACCAATTCCCCAATAAAAAAAAAACTTAAAAAAAAACAAAACACAATCTTGTCATTAGGAGCATGTGCTTTCACCAGCTGAGCCATCCTGCCATCTGTTGGCAGCTCAGTAGCAACTCAGCTTGGGTGCAGTGTCACTGGCCCATGTGGGAATCGAACCAGCGGCCCTGTTGCTCAGAGCTGTGATATTAAGCCAAGTCTTAACCAACTGAGTCACTCGGCTTGCCCGTTTGTACTTCTTAATCCCTTCACCTTTTTCACCCTGTTCCCCAACCCTCTCCCATCTATCACCCCAAGTCTAGCACCCATCTGCACTATACATAGTTATTTTTGACTATATTATGCTTATTATTGACTATATTATGCTGTACCCTATATCCCCATGATTACTGTGTAACAACTAATTTGTACTTCTTAATCCCTTCCCCTTTTTCACTCACCCGCAACCCTCCTCCCATCTGGCAACCGTCAATATGTTCTCCGTATCTATGAGTTTGTTTCTGTCTCGTTTGCCTCTTTTGTTCTTTGGATTTCACATACAAGCAAAATCACATTACATCTGTCTTTCTCTGTCTGATACTCCACTCAGCACAGTATCCCCCAGGTCCATCCACGCCGCCACAGATGGCAAGAACCCATTCCCTTCCATGGCTGAGCAATATTACGTTGTATATATGTACCACCTCCTCTTTATCTATTCTTCCATTGACAGACACCCAGGCTGCCTCCACATCTTGGCCATTGTAAACAGTGCTGCAATGAACATGGGTTCACATTTATTCTAAGTAGTGTTGGGGTTTCATCAGATAAATACCCTGAAGTGGGATTACAAGGGTCCCTCTTTGTCCTTTGTTTTAGCCTTTGTTTTAAAGTCTATTTGTCTGGTATAAGTATTGCTACCCCAGCTTTTGTTTTTTGGGGGTTTTTTTTAATTTCCATTTTCAAGAAATGTCTTTTTTCATCCCTTTACTTTCCGTCTCTGTGTGTCTTTCAATCTGAAGTGAGCCTCTTGTAGGCAGCATATGTAAGGGTCTTGTTTTCTTATCCATTCAGCCCTCCTATGTCTTCTGAGTGGAGCATTTAATCCGTTTACATTTAAAGTAGTTGTTGATAGGTATGTAGCTATTGCCATTTGATTCATAATTTTGATCTTTTTTTAAAAAAATCTTAACTCCCTCTAACATTCCTTGTAATACTGGTTTGGTATTGATGAACTCCTTTAGTTTTTTCTTGTCTTGGAAGCTCTTTATCTGTCCTTTGATTCTAAATGATAGCCTTGCTGGGTAGAGCACCTTTGGCTGTAGGTCCTTGCTTTTCATCACGTTGAATATTTTGTGCCAATCCCTTCTGGCCTGCAAAGTTTCTGTAGAGAAATCAGCTGACTTATAGGAGCTCCCTTATAAGTTACCAGTTGCCTTTATCTTGCTGCTCTTAGGATTCTCTCTTTGTCTTTAACCTTTGCCATTATAATTACAATGTGTCTTGGTGTGGGCCTGTTTGGGTTCATCTTGTTTGGGACTCTCTGTACTTCCTGGACTTATATTTCTATTTCCTTTGCCAGGTTAAGAAAGTTTTCAGCCATTATTTCTTCAAATAGTTTCTCAATCTCTTCCTTTCTCTTGTCTTCTGGTATCTCTATGATTCTAATGTTACGTTTGATGTTGTACTAGAGGTCTCTTACTCTCCTCATTTTTGGGGAGTTCTCTCTTTTTTTTGTTGTTCTGATTGGGTGTTTTTTGCTACCTGATCTTCCAAATTGCTAATTCGATCCACTGCTTCGTCTAGTCTGCTGGTGATTCCTTCTAGTGTATTCTTCATTTTAGTCATTGTATCCTTCACTTCTGACTTTTTTTTTTATGGTTTTTATGTCCTTTCTTATACTTGCTATCTCTTTGTTGAAGTTCTCACTAAGTTCCTTGAGCATCCTTATAACCATTGTTTTGAAC